TGATGTGATCTTTCTCAAAGGGGGCCGGCAACTTCTCTTTTCCTCTGATTTTCTTCATCTTCCTCCCGATTTTTTTTCTCGAGATGATAAATGATTTTTTTTTTTAATTTTACTTGTATTTTAGTCTGACTTCAGTAAATAATTGATTTTATCGCTATTATGATATGACGTCAATGTTTAGTTGTCTTTGCGTCAACTCGTCTACAAATCTCTTTCATACGTTGTTTGCCTTTGCGTCAACTCGTCCACAAATCTCTTTCGTACGTTGTTGAGTATTCCTTATAATTTATATACATTTATTATATTAATAAAATTATTAGTTTTATATGAAATTAAATACGTCAATATGAACAATAGATAATGTAGCATGAAATCAAGTAGAATTTTACCTATTTTGCTTGTTGTTAGCGTTTTTTTTGAAATGGAAGTCATTAAATACAATCATTAAACTATCAATCAAGTTTGATTAAACCCGCAAAATTATTCGTCTAAAGTAAGATTTTTTTAAAAAAAATTATTAAAATAACAATAATATAAACAAATATATAAGTTAATATTATTCTTTTTTAAATAATAATATATTTATTAAAATTAAAGTAAGAATTTAACGATGGTGTGTATAAATGAATAAGAAAGAACTCAACTTTATTTATCGTGGATAAAACAGGAGTAAGGTCCAAAAAAAACAAAAAAGAAATAAAAAGAAATAAAAAGAACAAAAATAAAAAACAAAACAAAATAAAATAAATATTTAATAAACACTTTCAATTAAAATAACAAAAGAAAAAGTTCCTGTTACGGTTCAAGTAACTTCAAAATATGCACTCTTTTAACGTCATTATGAATGAGAAAGGTCGAAACAAATCAAATTCTTAATTAAAATTTTTAAGTAGATTATCGCAAATACGACAATCATGTGATTTATACAGTGAAAATTCGATAAACCGGATTTATCGGTTTCACTAAAAATATGGCGATATATTATACTGAATTTTAAGAATTTTTTCATGCTAATAAAACTAATATACATTATATACATTATATTTTAATTTTTCATCTTAGTTTAAGTCATAGAGGTCATGAAAATGAAAATAAAATATTTTTAATTGAAAATATAAATTCAGCCAGAATTAAGATTTTTATAATTCCGGCCAAAATAAAATTTACCGCATTACGTTCTTCGATTTTATTGGTTTATGAGCACGTGATACGATACGTCGAATCATTTTTACTATAATTGGTTAGAAGTTATAGCCGCGACTTTACGTAAATTCGGTATATCGAAACTATTAAATTTCGGATAAAATTTTTTACATGATCAAGACATTTTGCTATTCTTGATATTCAAGAATATTGAATCATTTTGTAAGTTAGAGGCGAGTTAGTGCTCAAGAAATCCCCCTCTTTAAACGTCCGCTGCTTATTTAGTAAGTGAAAAATAGTTTCACTCACATTGGACTTAAACTTTCGACTATATATATGTGAATCAATAAAATAACGAATATGTGATCCTCATCTCTATTCTAATGTCTTTATAATAAATGTATCCCTGATATCAAATGGAGCGCAAAATGCGCACACTTGGCAACTTATCATAATTCACAAATCTTGAAAGAAGTATGGGATAATTATACTATAAATATTAAATAAGTGCATTGCCTTCGATATATGCTAATTATGAAGGTATCCTCATAAGAGTTTAGAGATTGGACTTGCATTCGTAACTCGAATTAAGAAAAACTCGAGTAAAACTTGAATAATCCTTTACCACATTAAATAAATCTTTATCTCACCCCAAGAACGGAAAGAAATACTCAATAATTCATATCTAAACAACAAACAATAAATTTGCTTTTGTCTATTAATCGGCGCAGATTTATTGGACATCATCTTGATCCGTTTCCTACACAATATATTGCATTTATGCGTGTTCTACGCGTAAATGTTTGTTAATTAGTAAACATGTATAACATTCAATGAAAGTTTTTACTGGCCAAACAAACGATAAATGTATATAATAACAATGTTTAAAATAAATCAAAATTGGGAAGTATAAAGATATAATCCGTCTTCGCATATATATATATTTATATTAAAAAAAATAATTTAATAGAAAACACTTTAAAATAATATGCTTTTTACATAAAAATAATAAAAAGAGTGTTACTGCTTACTGTAGAAGAATACGTTTCTTGAGAAGAAATCTAAATAAATAACGTTTGCCATGTTAAGAAGAATAAGACAGTTGCCAAGTTAATCCGGGCAATCTATGGGTGCCTCAGAGACTAAACGTGATGCCCCTGGTGTATTTTCCCATTTTTCAATGGCTCTTCTTTTTAGAAATTGGAACCGGCATTCACCCTTCAGATAGATTTACTGGTTCCATCGATTTGGATTTAAATCTGAATATAAATGCAAACCCGGATATAATAAAACCAGATGGTTCGTTTCGTCAGATAACTGAAGAAACTGAAAGAATCGGATATATTATAAATCTGGAAATAAATTTGGTCCAAACCTCTACTTCTTTTTATTAACATGTTAATATAAAGCGAGTCCTTAATAATCTCGCATTTTAAAACTATTAACTTTTAAATTCAATGATTGATTTAAAAAAATTACAAACAAAATTTGATGAGCTCAATTTCTTTTATTTTTATTCTATATTTGAAACTTATTCGATCATTAATTTGAAAATTTTTTCATAAACTCATAATTAATTAGTACATTGCAATTGGCATTTCGGATTTCGAAATTTATTTCATTAACAATTACTGTATAATTATCTAATTCGTGTATAATTACGACAGAAAAAAATAAAAAATTAGTGACATGTATGAAATAAGCTATGTAAAGTAATTTTTGCGGAGATTGTTTTTTTTGAAAATTTCCTGTATTAAAAGAAAATATTATAAATAAAATCATTATCTGTTAAGAGCTGCGATTTAATTAATTTATAAAAATACGTATTCTAGTTTTATTTATTTAACGTGTGATTTAAAAATAAATAAAATAAAAATAAAAATTCAATTCTTAGCAGATTTTATTATTTTAATTCCTTATATTTTTAATCAATTACACACTCTCTTATTAATCATCAAATTTTGTCAATAGATTATCGCTTGAGTTTAATCTCTTAATAATACAAAAAAATCATACATAAAGAAGCTATTGATATGGTAAATAAGCATTATTGTTGACTTATATTGGTAGAACGTTCCCTTCGGACATCCATCAATTACGTTGTTGTAATTGATTAATAACATTATCTTTCAGTTACGATATGTATGGTCTTCCCGGAATTTTAATATAGTAAGTATTGAAGTCAAATTCTACTAGACCACAATCTATATTTTAGGAACTTTCTTTTGCTAAGAAAATAACTCCTCAGTTTTAAAAATCTTGTACATTTTCGCATTTCCACCATAGTCAAAGCATGTAGTTGATGCTGTATTATAACCGGTTTTATTATCACGCATTCATCACTTCATTCGTAGGATCACTTTTTCTTCTAATTATCATATACACCCGATATTTTGGCAAAAGAAAGTTCCAACAAGCCTAATATTTATTTGCATATAAAAACAACAATACAAACCTGCCAATCCTTGTTATATCTACAGCGGATGAGAATTTGATTTTTACTTTTTTCTTCTTTAATAGGAGCATACAACATACTGGTTCTGGGCTTCTGGCTACTTCATAATCCTCTCCTTTTCCCATAACGCGCTAGCTTACCATTATGAGAAGGATATAACTCCTTTAAATAATCATCTAATATAGTATAATTAATTAATATCTTATTGGATTTATTTCATTAAGATGCATCAAATGGTGGTAAGATCAAGTCTTTAGCATAAATAGATCATGTGCTAACTCATACTAAAGAATTTTTAAAAAATCAATACGGGTATTAGCAAACTATTTATCAATGCTAGAGGCATCAACTACTCCATTTTACTTAACATTCATAAACAAGAAAATTGATTCTAAAGCATATTCAAGAATTAGGAATTATATAAATAAGTAAACTTTGAATATCCATAAAATAATCATAAAAAATATCATTTTTAATTATCAGTTGACTTCGGAGCTTAGGATTTTTATTTATTTATTACATCTTTTGCAATTCTAGATATCTATAGTAGTGTTACAATGACCGCATTTATTAAAGCAACAAAAGTAGAGTTCCGACGGATGATCAATCTCTTCTCATTTATTTTTTGGAAAGAGACATTTATGTTTCATAATTTATACATTAGGAACTGCATTCGACGTAAGGTGATCAGACTATGCATTATTTAATTAATTGAACATAAAATAAATCTTAGTCGGATTGAAATTTTCATCCGTCAGATGATATTTTAATCCGTTCCTAATTTCTCCTCACTTTCATTTTTGAAAAGAAAGTTTTAAATTTATTAAATTATATACTGTATTATGATATTAGGATATTCTTAAAAAAATGCTCTTTTATATTTAAATGAGCATACAACTGTCAAAATGTGATTATCCGTCGGAACTCTAAACAAAAGGCGCTGGAATTTTATCAGAACTCAAGTGAAACCCTGCTGAAAGAGGTACCTGTGTTGCAACAAAATGGTTGTCTTATAAGGTGCTAGTTGAACTTTGGACATAGGTATTTTTGATATTTGAATCGAGTTTTTTGAGTCGGGTTATCTAACTTTTTTAAGCTCTTGATTAATAGAAGTATTGTGGTGAGATACATTTACGGCCAATTGTAAATAATGACAATAATTAAATTTAATGGAAATTTTGGGAGCGACTTATCTTCAAAGAGTGTATTTTATTATTAGTCATTTGATCATTGGTAATCCAAATGTTACAAACAGTTTATGGCCGAATTTTAAAATCGATGTATTAATTAAAGCGACATGCAACAAGGAGGTCTGGTTCTGTATTCGACTAACGTGGCTTTTGTAATCCCGGTAAATAACTTGTAAGAGAATGATGATCATTCATCATTACGACGTATTTGGCAATCGATCAACATTATCTCTTCTTAATTGTATTCCATTGTCTCATGATGGGACTGATAAAAATCTCTAGATAAGATACAACATATAAAACGAAGGAAAATGTCTACACAAAGATATTCAAGGACTCCTACTAATAATCAAACTTTTGAGGTATAAATTTATTCATTTACTTTAAAAAAGGTTGAAAAATTAACATGTATGTAAATTTTTCTTTAATACAGCCTCAAAAAAGTTCTCCTACAAAACATTTCACGTCTTCTGTACTACAAATCACGTCTCCTACACCACCTATACAGAGACAGCAACATGTAAATGTTCCTCATACAAAACCTAAACCAAACTACTTCCAACTTCCTTTTCTCGACAACGTAATAGAAAAAGTATACGAGTATCATAATCGGCAACAAGAAAGAAATACACCTTCATCTTCGGCACAATTATATGATCAACCATATATACATAATGGAGATGTGATAGAACTTTATGGACCCTCTTGTGGAGGTAAAACTACAATATTATATCATGTTATCGTTACTACCATTATTCCTAAATATTGGACGCGTAATAAAGAAGATGACGAAGATGCAAGGATTGAATTGAATGGACTCGGTAAAGGAGTATTATTTTTTGATTTGGATGGTAGACATAATATTAAAAGGTTATATACAATGATTATGTATTATTTAAGAAACAGGATTGAACAGATTGTAAAAGAACGAAATTCTCAAGAGGCTCAACAATATGACAAACATCAACAATTACCAACTCCTTTATCATCTTTGTCATCGCAACTATCACAAGAAGAACTTTATAATATCGATTCGCTTCCAACAGAACAAGAACTTGATATGATAGCAAGAAATTCATTGAAAAAACTTCATATTTTTCAGCCAAACATGTCAATTGAATACTTGGCAACATTACTTTCATTGCCAGAGTACATTAAAAAGATTCAAGAGAAAGAAGGATATGAATTCAATTATTTAATGATTGATTCAATTAATTCATTTTATTGGCAGGATAAATCTGAAGAAATAGGAGAACAAGCAATTAATTCGGGAAATGATGTTGATTCAGATTCAGATAATGATGGGAGAGGAAATGAGAGCAACATTAATAATATTGAATTGGATAATTTTGAGGCCATAAATGAAGGAATTGATCCAACATCTTCACCACCAATGTACTATAATGGAAGACAATCTCATTCAAGGTCAAGTATTAATAGCCTTAATAGTAGCACATCAAATAATCATAATTTTCAATATTATATAGTTCAAGCGCTACAAATATTGATTCAGTCGACTAATTTAATTATATTAGCAACAAATTGGGTGATATTTGGACCATCAGAACATAAGCAAAAAACGTTTTCCACAACAAATACAAATTTAAGAATCCCACAAGAACTAAATTACACAACAGTATTGTCACCATATTGGGATTCTTTATTAAAATATAAATTTGTTATAGCAAAACAATTATTACCACAATATTCTGATGATATAATACCACAAGTGGTTGAGAAAGATGAGAATAGAAGGAATTTATTGAAAGAACCTTTATTTTTTGGAAGATTGATTTTACCTAGTTGTGATGAAAAATGTGGTGAAATCTTTTCATTCAAAATTTCTGAAAAAGGTATTATGTGTGATTAAATAGATGTATCGATGGTTTTTAAATAAATTAATGTACTATTTGATACCCAATATAAATAAATATATTGTGGATCTGACAGTATCTCATATGATTCATATGATTCGAGGGTACCGTTTTAAGAAAAAAATTTATTTATTATATGCAACTACCATCTTTTCTGCATGAGTAATAAAAATAACGTTAAGCTAAAATTGCTTTAGTTAGAAAAATGTTGTGTTTTAAGCATGGGTTTATTACGTCATTATGCAAATTGAAATTCAAAACGTTTTCTTTTTTTTACCTCGTTTTTTCTTTTTTTATTTTATAAAAATAATCCCAATTTTATGTAATATAACTGTGTAATTTTATTTTTATTTAGTTGGTATGCGAGAATATTTTTCAGAAAAAAATTTGTCGTTTTTTTTTGTTAACTGTTACTGAACTAAATTATCGTTAAAGAAACGGGTTGTGTTCTTTAACACGTCGTTTAAGCTCGTATCGTGCTTAAAAATAAATTTCGAAGGATTTAATATAACAAAACATGGAAATACAAAATGCACCAAATATGAGTTTAAGTTTAATTGACGGAGCTGGAGAAAGGGATTATGAAATATTTTCGAACAATTTTTGGGTAAGTTAAATAGAACTGTTTATTTTTTCGATTTTACTCTTATAAAATTATTGTTTTTGTTGTATTAAATAATAGGGAAAAGAAGAAGCAGGATATGAAGTACTCACGTCAAGACTAAGGCAAGCTAAACAAACTTGTGAGGATGTTAGAAATATGTTTCATGAAAGGTATATTTATTGAGCTTAGCTATTCTTAAACAAATGAGTCAATATTTTCGAACTTAATTGATTAAATATATAACTTATTTGACTAGAGCGTTAATAGAAGAAGAGTATGCAAAGAGATTAATGAGAATTTCCAAAATACCAATTGGGAAAGATGAGTCTGGGTATTATATTGAATCTTCTCTTTGTTAATAAACTTTTTTTTTGAAAATATTAACTGATTAGATAATATACTAAAGGACATTACGAGATGCATTGGAAGTGTGTAGGCAAGAATTGGAGGCAACAGCAAAAGAACATATAACATTATCACAGAAAATCAGAACTGAACTTGAACAAGAAATAACACATTTTATAGCCAGACAAAAAGAAACCAGGAAATTGGTAAGAGATTAAACAAATTTAATGATTTTTTATTTTGTTTTATTTATTTATTTATTCATTATTAGCAACAAGCTATTGCGGAGAAAAGCTTGAGGAATAAGAGAGAACATGCAATATTAGTTCAAAAGGTAATTAGAATATTTCCGATATATTTTTAACATATATTAACCTTTTAAAACATTTAATTAGGCCAAAGAAAGGTATGAATCAGAATGTATAAAAATACAAGGACTATTAGCTGGTAAAAATTCAATAATGGGAAAAGATTTAGAAAAGGTATGATGGGTTCCTAACTTTTTTTCTCGTAATGCTATATATAAAGCGTATGTTAATAAAATCATGTTTTGTGAAAATGGGATCGGATATAATATAGTTAAATTTGAAGATAGAGAAGGCGCAAATGTCAGCAAAAACAGCAGACCAAGAATATATGAAATTAGTTAAGGATGCACAAGACATATCACAAAAATGGAATTATGATTGGAGAACAGCGTGTGATAAATTTCAAGATTTAGAAGAAGAGAGAGTCGACTCGTTAAAAACTTTTTTATGGACTTATGCAAATCTCATTTCAACGGTTTGTGTAGCAGATGATGAAGTAAGTTAATGTCGGTGTGTTAAGCGCAGTTAATTATTGAATTGAGGAATTAACATTTATTATTTCATTTTCTCACAATAGTCTTGTGAGAGAATTAGAGTTTCGTTGGAACAGTGCAATGTTGAGAAAGACATACAAATATTTATTAAAGAGAGTGCAACAGGACCCGAAATGCCTGGTAAAATAGTAAAGTTTTTTTTTTTTTTAATTTTAAACCAATTTTTGTTTTAACTAACTTTCCTGCTCTGATTTTGACAGAACCACCAATTTATGTTAATTTCTACGCAGGACCAAAAGAGGATGAAGTAAGGTATAAGGTAGCATCATTTGATAGAGTACCAGCATATATAGACGGAAATACAACAACGGCACTAGATCCACTTTCATTACATGAGTATCATTCAGCGCAAAATATTAATTCTAATGGTAATGGTTATCACACAAGAAACGGTTCAGAAGATTATAATAGTATGAATAAAGAAAGAGCGCAATTATATGCTAATACAACATTAAATACCATAAATAATAACTATAATAATAAAAGTGAGGGAGAAGGAATTGAACAAATCGAAGAAGATCCTGTTGATCCCAGGGCAAAACAAATGTTATCAATTGGGGACAATGTATTTGAAGTAGAAACTGATGGTAAACCAGTAGAAAAAGATGAAATAGCACAAGCATTAGCGAATATGCAATTAACTGATGGAAATAATAATATTGTTGATAATGATAATCTATTAAAATTTCATTCAACTGGCGGAAGTATTTCAGGAGGAGGAAATAATCCGATAAATGTTAATGGAGGTGGATCAAACAGGAGGCCTTTACCGGTTAATTTTGTTACTGATAAACCACAGCCTCTACTTCCAAGCGATCAAACTATTATCCAACAGCAGCAACAGCAACAACAGCAACAACAGCAACAACAGCAGCAACAGCAGCAACAGCAGATAAGTAATATACCTCATCATCAACACAATAATTCACAAACTCGAATACAATTTAATCAATACCAATTAAATGGCAATAATTCACCAACTCCCACTACAATCGCCAATAGTAGTGGTATAAATATAAATGGACCGGGAGACTTAAGACGACAATCTTCGGATTCCAATAATAATGGACCTATTTCTTCACAACAACAACAAATTTCTCAAAATATGAACATGAGACCATCATCTCAACCTCAGTCCAATCGAAATAGTCAGCAACAACAGGGTCCTGGTGATATTAGAAGATTGTCTAATACAAATTCTTCTTCGCCAACACTTACACAGGTACCTCAACAAGGTGGATATCAACAACAACAAATACAAGGACAAATGATCTCACAAGATCAAATTCCCACTCAAGGAAATAACAATAATAATAATAATAACAGCAGCAATTTAAACAGATCAGATACTTTACGTACTACTTCCACTAATAGTAGTAATAATTCTTTAGGTATACAATTAGATGTACTTGGTCGCGTTAAACAAGATGATTTAGCTGAGAGTTTTGTAATTAATGGCGGTAGACTACCACCTGAATCTGCTAGATTTCAAATGAATTCGCAAGGTATCCCTCAAGGTGTACAACAGCAAATATCTTCTCAAGGTCAAATTTCTCCACAAGGACAACAAGTATATCAACATAATAATTATAATTTACCAATAAATCAGTCTTCATTTCGTGGTCAACCTCAGCAGGTTGTTAGGCAGCAACAAATTATTTCTCCACAAATTCAGCAACAAGTTCAGCAACAACAACTGAATAGAAGTAATACTCTTAATTCAAATTCCACTTTGACTAGTGCTTTTCATCATCAACAACAACAAGGTAACCCAAGAACTACTTTACAAGGCTCTGTTAGTGTTCAACAACAACAGCAGCCACTTGTTGGAGGTCAACTTGCTGGACAACCTCAGCATCAACTTAATTTTCAGGATCAAAATTTCTATACTGGTCCTATAATGGCTCAAGCTCAATATCAAAGACCTCCTGTTGGTGGTGGCGCAAATGTTCAAGGGTTCCAACAAATACAACAAGTACCTCAGCAGCATCACCTACACAGACAATTACCTCAATTTGGCTTACAACAATCACTTCAACCAATGGCGAGAGGAATTCAATTACAATATGGTCACCAACCAATTTTACAAAGATCTATTATTCCTATAGACAATCGACAGCGTACTGAAGATGGTAAACCAATTGAATTCTATGGTACGTATAACCTTACAAATAATGTTACTTCAATTTCACCTAAAATATGCATTAAAAATTTTTACTTATTAATAATGTAGTTAAAGCATTATATGATTATCAAAAAACTATACCCGAAGAAATTTCATTTACTGCTAACGATGTTATAGCTGTTTTAAATACCCATAGTGATGGTTGGTGGGAAGGAGAGATATTAGATGAAACGAGAAGAAATAGAGGTTTGTTCCCAAGTAATTATACCGAAATCTTACGGTAAATTATTTTATATGAAATACTTAAAATAAGTAGAGAAAAATTGCGATTGAATTAATGTTTATATAGAATTATATTTTTGTACAATTATTTAATATTATTTTTATTTAGCAGTTAGTAATAAACTTTGTGTAAATACTTTGATAAGGTTAAAATGTCTAATTTAATTAATTATTAAACGATTATAAGTTAGTCTGTTATGGATGATATTAATTTTTTTTTTAGATAGTGGGATAACATTTGATTAAAGCTTTGATGAAATAGTAAAATAGAAAATATATTTTTTTAATGTACTTTATATCGATTACCACTAGATTCATAATGGTTGCATTCATAATGGTTACTTCTTTAGCAAATTTTTACTTCGATGCCAATCCTTTCCTGTTAAGTATTTGGAGATAATCTCATTCTTTCCAAATTTTATTTTCCACCATAATTATGTGGACAAGCAGACAATATCGTTCGAAAAGTTTTGCAAATTCTTTCAATAACGTAAATAAATTTCTCGTTAATGATTTTTCTTTTGCATTTTACAAATGTAATAAAGATTTAAGTTTATACCAATATTTTACATCTTTACGACGACAAAATTTAAAAGGTAAGCACATTGATAAACTCGAAGACAAATTATATTCACGATTTCAGAACTTTTTGTTTACCGAACTTCAAGGACCGGGAGTTAGCCGCATTAATAGAATTAATGCAAACAATTATATTGAAAAGCTCTCTAGAAAAAGAGAACAAAAGGATGCATCTTCTGAATATAATAAAATACAACCGGATATTATCCAAAAATCCTTTGGAGTTCTAAATTATTCTCATCCAGCGGCGTCAATTTTACAAAACTCGGCTCTAGCAGTAGCTCGACAATTAGAAATGCTTAATGTCTTTTTGGTAATTTTGATGTATTTGTTTGAAGCATTGAAGTTTTTAAAATTAACCATTAATTTCTAATGTAAATATTAAAACGAAGGGATTTGAACAAGCAAATAAATATGCTATCCTTGATCCCAACGGAAATCACGTAGGGTATATTGTTGAAGAGGAATCTTTTGCTTCAACTATTTTGAGACAACTGTTTAGAACACACCGAAAGTTTAATGCCATGATTATGGACTTGGATGGTCAATTGATTTTGAAGATTAGAAGACCATTTGCGTGGATCAATTCTCGTATATTTATCAGTACTAACGATGAATACTTAATCGGAGAAGTCCATCAACAATGGCATCTATGGCGAAGACGATATAATTTGTTTATCAAGTAAATATAGCATATTTAAGTCACTTTTAACAATAGAGAAGTTAGTATTGTTAAGGAGGTTTCCTGAGAAGGAAAAGGGGTCATTAATAATAATTTATATTTTGATTCTCAAGTCAAAAACAGTTCGCAAGGATTGATGCTGGTTTCTTATCATGGGACTTCAACATTGAAGATGAACTCGGTGATGTTCTCGGAAGTGTTAATCGTAATTTTTCAGGTTTTGCTAGAGAGGTAATTGATTTTTTTCCCGTCTAAATTGCAAATTCATTATATTTTTATTTCATTATTTTACTAATGAATCATTCAAGATTTTTACCGATACAGGACAATATGTAATAAGAATGGATTCTGCACAAAGCAGTTCTAAACATTTGTCATTGGATGAACGTGCTGTTATATTAGCAGCTGCTGTTTCTATAGACTTTGATTATTTTTCAAGACATTCTGGGCATGGGGGGTTCGTATAATGAATTGTTTTAACATACATTGATCAAAAGGCTGCTAAATTATTTTATTTATATTTATTAGATTTTTGCATCATTTTCCTTTTATTACTGGAGATGAAAATGGCGATTATGATGATTAGGATGATCGAATATTAGCATTATTATTATATTACAAATAAAGTTAGATTTAAATATTCGAAGTTTATTGTGCCAGTGTTGTTTGAAAAGTTTTTAGGCCCCCCTAGGGAGCAACTAAACAAATCATTAATTCTTGCCTATGTATATTTGCTTTACAAAAAGATATTTCATTGTCAGTCATACTATACGAGATATGACAAATCTGAAGTAGCCACAACCGGAAAATTCACTTAATCGCGATGTTTCTGCCAATCGTCTTGGCACTAATTTTTCCACAAAATTTTAAAATTTATATGGCCATGCTCGTTTTCGGTTTAACTAAACGTTTGCCTACCAGCGGTAGTTGTATCTCAAATACACTTAGAACTGGTCGTGTCGCTCGTTATATGACACAAGTTACTGGTGAAAAGACCTTTTTCAATCGGAAACGAGAACTTACTGAGTTTGAAAAAGCATTTAGTGGTGATCCGGAGCTTCATGTCGTTCTAGGTCCTCCTAGTTCTGGGAAAACTTCCCTGATTCGTGAGGTAACGACTAGAGGCAATTTCAAACCTCTTTTTCTAGACTGTCGTTTGGGAGAAGTTTGATTCTCTATAATTCTATTTCCATGCAATTCAAAACATTCTTCGAAAATCGAAGAAAACTCCTGAGAGAAATTTTATCAGAAATGGAAATCAATGCCAAAATTCCTTATTTTTTCGAGTTAAACTTTTAAGCTATTTGATAAGAAAGAAAGAGAAATTACTTCTAGTAATTTTAACCATGCTATATTTTTTTTATTTTAGGGCTCTTTTTAGTACGTGAGTCAGATGATCGACATATGAATTTAGTGCAACGGTTACAACGATCACATGCATTTAATAGTAATTTAGGGTCTTTAATTTCGGTCCAAATCCAATAATCAGCTATCTTTTTTAACATGTTATCAATTTTTAAAAATACTTTAAACAATTTTATTCCTAAAAAATTGGTTTCATCTAATTTATATTCGTTATATTTATATCGTAATTTGTCGAATTCTTTTCAAAAACGTTTATTAACATCATCATCCTCATCGAATAATGATAAAAATAATGATGAAAATAAAATAGAGGATAAAATAGAGGAAAAGAAAGAAATCGACGAAATTGACAAGAATGAATTTAATCAAGAGAATAATGATGGATCAAAATATCAACCAAGTATTGATGATATATTAGGTCTTTTTAGTTCAAACCAACCAACAACAACAACAACATCATCATCCATTTTTAAACAAGAACAAGAATCTTCATCATCAAAAGATAAAGAAGAGATGGATAATTTTTTATTTAATTTTTCATCAAATGAACCCAAAAAATCTTTATCACAAACTATTTCATCAACAACATCATCATCATCTTCAACATCATCTTCAAATAATGAGATAGCAAAACTTTTATCAGATTTTTTAGTTCCAACGGAAGAAAATTATATTCTTCATATTCATGCATCATATAATAATACTATAGTAACATTAACAAATTCTCATGGTAATATTTTAATAACTAAATCAGGAGGTAGTGTTGGATTTAAAAAATCTCAAAGAGGTGGTTATGAAGCTGCTCATCAAGCTGCTATTGGTGTTATACAAAAAATTAAAGAAAAAAATTTAAATGTTAAAAATGTTGAAATTTGTATAAATGGATTTGGTCCTGGTAGAGATGCTGCTTTTAAGGCTATAGCTAATGTAGAGAATCAATGGAATGTTAGACGAATTACTGATACTACTCCTTTACCTTTTAATGGATGTAGACCAAGAAAACTTAGAAGATTATAATATAAACAAAATGAGTGTGAATTGGTGTAAATTGGTATGAATTAAATAAAATAAATTATCTTAATTTCTTTATTTTTTTAAAAAAATAAATTAAATAAGTGGAGTTTATTTATTAGTTTATTGTTCCAAATGTTATAAAACAAATACAATATCGATATCTTTTCATAATAAATCTTTAATTATTTTACTGTACATAGTAATTAAAAAAAAAATATTTTATGATTGCTCTTCTTTATCAAGTTTAGAAATATTATACAAGTCTGCTTCATATAAAATTTCGTCATTTTCTGCTAAACTTTTGCCTGGAGAAGCATATCCACTATCTTGTAAAAATTTCTATACAAAAATATCCAAGAAAATTCAAATAAGAAATTCATTCAGATGAGAAATTCAAGATGAAAAATTCAAATGAGAAATATTCAAAAATTTCAAAAATAACTCGAATTATTTTTACTTACTTTTTGATCTTCCATACAATCCCAAAATTTTCTTCTCGCTTTTATACATAAACTAGCTTTATCAAATATTCCACCAAAAGACATACATTCTTGTAATTTTATATGTAATTCAGAACAATTTATTAATGCACCATTCCATATCTCTTTTTTTTGATTAAAATAATCAGTACTTATTTCTGATATTTTAAGTTTTTGTGCTAATGATTGTTTCTTATTATCATCAGATGTTAATGATGGTGATGGTGATGATGATGATAATGATGACTCATTGTTATTATTTTCATCTTTAAAAGGTCGATTTGAAAATATATCAGGGTTTACAGTAGGAGATTTTAATAATTCGGACAATGAAACAGATGATGATTTTGTTGTTTCTCCTTGTGTTTCATGTTCTTTTTCTGAACTAGTTGTCGTCGTCGTGTTTGTTGGTAATGAATCCTTAATTGAATTATCATTTGGATCATAAGTAGGTTGTGATGATTTTAAAAAATCACCTAAATATGTATTTATATCTTTAATATAATTATCTATAAAATCTTTTGTTGTATCATCATTATTTGAAGTTTCAGAATTTTGTGAAGTCGGCATGTTGATTATAAAAAAAAAAAAATTTTTTTTTTAGGATGATAAGATTATGTTGATCAGGATTAATTAGAATTAATTTAAAAATTCGTTGCAACACAAACGTTGATAAATTTACCAATCATCAATTAAAAAAAAAAAAAAAAA